TATATATATATATACTATTATGCATAGAAAAAAAAGAATATGCACTAAGATAGTACAGTAGTGACTTGAGTAGTAAGAAAGTGATGTCATAATTTTTGTATTTTTTGCTTTGCTTTTCTAATTTTACATGTTAAACTTGCATTAATGTATATATTTATTAATTTTTATATATTTATTAAAATTATATACATATAGCATGCCTGAAAGCTGTACCCAGATGCTCCTGAGCTATCACAAACTTAACATAGCCAGTTACCCTACTTAATTAGCATGTCTAAAATACTTTCTCCTAGAGAGTTCCTTATCTCAGTGGATGCCATCAATTGTTTGTCAGGAGTCCTATCCTTAATCAACTTCCCATATCTCTTCCACAACTGTCACACGTAACCAATCACTAAGTCCTGTTGATTTTGCTGCTTAAAACTTGAAAATCTTCACATTTTTATTCTGCTATCACAATTTCCTTAACAATCTAGTTCCATAATCTGACCTCCCCGTTTAATACCTCCTCTCATTCCTGCCCAAGGTTTCCCACTGTCCTCGGGATAAAGTCTAAATACCTTAATATGTGTTATAAGCTTCAATCAACCGCCCCTGCATAAATGATGTCTCTGATATGTGTCCATATTTTTGTGCCTAAGCTACTGATTGATGTAGGAAACTCCTCACTGTAAATCTCCATAGTTTACAGTAACATAGTTGGAGAGTAACAAAAAATCTTTGAGAAAAAGCAAAAGGGCATTTCCATTTGATTTTCGACACTAAGATCTGCAGTAGAAAGTACATGACGCTTTATTCTTCTATCCTAGGACCATTTATTGAATATCCATTCTCCACTAACATGTAATATCTCTATCATAAAGCAAGTTGCCATGTGTGTGTGGGTGTATTTCTGGAGTTTCTACTCTCATTGATTAATCTATTTTTCTAATACTGACCCACTACCACACTGCATAAATTACAGATTTATAAGAAATTTCCCCAACCCTTTTTCTCTCCTGAAACTGATTCTTCTTTGTTAAATGATTAACTCTTCACTGATACAGACCAATGCTTAAATTGCACTTATTTTTTTGTACCTACTGAAAGTATGTTATATAATCTTTTCTATCCTTACATTGCCCTCTTTTGTTCCAAGGTCATCAAATACACCCCAATCTTAGAAGCACTACTGAAAATGTGTATGACTGGTCACAAGGAGGTCTAGGCAATGGTAGTAATGAGGAAGAAAAATCCACTTTACTGGGAGAAAAACATCTCTGTTATGTGGTCTAAACTGATGGTGAATCAAGGCTTTTTTTTTTTTAATTATACAAAAAGATCCATTCTGATGTGCTCTGTGACAAACATCATACACTTATACAGTGTGTATTAGGTATGTGTCTGTTTATGTGTTCTCAGCATATCAGGATATTAAAATACCTAAGTTGGAATTTATATATTTACAAGCTATGGCCCTAAATTATACTTAAAAACATCACCTTAAACTGGAACTTAACTGCTAAAGGAAAATACTTTGGAAACACAGGGGACTTGGAGAGAAGGGTGACGGGGGAAGTTTACCTGGAAGTGAGGCTCCTTGAGTATACCAACCAGTTCTGCCGCATTTTCATCCACATTTATTAGAGGAGTGATATCTTCAAGAATTTCATTGACTAATTCCAAGTTATTGTCACTGACGGCTTCTAGTTTTGAATCTTCTAGCCTCTCATGAGCCTAAAAGACATTATATTAAAGTAATAATACATATTTTTTTTGCTCTAGACTGTGGTTTTCTTCTTGATTTGTTTCTTTTTCATAAAGTTTTAAAAGAAATTACCTGAAGATTTGATTCACTGAAACAAAATTTAATACTTCGATCAGAGTCAATAACATAGATTTTTAAAAGTTATTATGTTGTTATGCAGTATAATAAATGTTGACCTCTATTCCTATCCTGAAAGTCATGGAAAACTCATTTTTATAACTAAACTATGAAAAAACTAAATAGGCTAGATGACAACTTAAAAAACATATTCACTACCCAACAGAACTTCCTAATGATTTTCTAGTCTAGGCTCAAACTCTAGATAACACTGTTCATACTTTATTAAAGTAAATGACTAAGCATAATAAAAATAAAGAATAGGAACCTAATCATAATATGGATTACTATTCAAAAAATGATAAAAATTATTTTGGGAACCCCAGAATCCTAAAGCTACTATTTTCCAATTTTGAAAATCAGTGAAAAAAGTCAATTCAGGGAAGGCAGCTCTTGAATTGGACCTTGAAGAGCAATATGATTTCATGTCTCAATATCTTAAGCTGTGGGTTTTTTTTAAAATCTCATAATCTATTCCACAGAAAATAGATTATGAATCACCCTGTCACAAGAAATAAGTAGTCCTAGTTATTGTTTAATATTGGGAGTAAAGTAGAGTTTTAAATTCAAATTGAGAATGAACACTAACCAGTCTTCATCACTTAGTGTTGTTTTTCTGATAAATGGTTGCTGTCTGATTTTTGAAGACAGGCAAAGCATAATTATTAAGATTTAATTTATAAATGAAACCATGCAAGATGATGAGACTTACACTTAACATTTTAAGATTCATTTCTGTAAGTGTTGAAGAAAAATCCAAATTTCAAGTGGCAGCAGCATCAATTAAACTTTATCTGGTACCTATGACACGTAGATGTTATTTCTACCATTTAGAGTGAATCTTAAAGAGTCCAAATACACCTTCTAATTTTTAAAATGCAATTTTTAAAATTTAAATATATTTTCTTCAGGTGATTCACAAAGTGAAGTAAGTTTTTTAAGTGAAAGGGGGAACTATATATTAAGCAACATTTTTACAAAACATCTCAGAAGAAGCAATTTTAAGTCACATGAAATAAACAGATAAAGAAGAAATTATAACTGCTATTAAACAAAGAAAAATGTCAAAAGACAAAATGTAATTTAAACAGAGTTTCTCTTAGATTTAGATAAGAAAAAAATTAAGAAGATTAGAAAATGCCACAAAGAATAAGAATAGGTAAATGTGTAATTTTCTGAAAACCTGATAAGGATAGGATAATGAGGACACTCAATATCTGTCATGGACTAATACGAACATTGGAAAAAAACTAAAATAATGTATAGAATTAGTGAACTCTTACAAAACAAGTGAGAATTGTTGACTTTTTAAATACAGAAATTTAGATAATAAATATCTAATTTAGGATCATTAACCTTGCAATACCCTAACATTCTTATGATAGTATAAGGAAACTTAAGGAAAAAAGGAATAAAAAACCTTAACATTTATTGAGGACTATTGTGTGTGTGTGTCAAGAACTATATTCCAAGTACAGTGTGAGTGTATAAGAACAAGCGTGTGTGTGTGTGTGTGTATTCAGCAAAGGTAGGTACGTTATTATCATCCTCACCTTACAACATAGGCCCTGATGTAAAATGAGATAAAGTGATTTGCTTGAATTCACAATCCTAGTAAGTGGCAGAGAGTCAGGTCGTCTAATATCAAGGCTTAAGTTCTTACCTACTAAAGCTTATTTGACTTTACCCTTATACAGACAGCAACGCTAACATCACCTTGCAGTTAATGATTCCATCTAACACATGATGCATTATTCTCATTTTTTTAAATGTGTGAGAGGTGCTCTCACAAATTGCTAGTTGAGTAGCTGCTTCTTAGTATGGCTATTCCAGTCCAGGTGTGTTAATTTGTTCTACCACATCTATTTGCATAGTTATTTTATAATCCTATGGTTCAAGATACCATCCACTCCTTGAACCTTCACCCTTCTGCTCTAAGAGCTATAAAGACCATCTCTTTCTCTAGGAAACAGATAATGACTGGCTTACAATTTTCAGGTACTATGGCAATATATCTTCTATAATAGCCTATGTTACATGATCAGCATATAGTGACAATACTTATACATTGGTAGACTTTGGTTCAAGACTTTAAGACAAAAAGGAAAAGAAATGGTCACTGACTTGAAAACTCTAACATAGCTCCCGTCTTGTCTATGTTCATCTACCTTATTGCTCCCAAGCTGGGTGAGGACAGGTGGGAATGTGGAAAGACTAATGGTAAGAGAGAAAGAGGAAGTCAATTAGGAGGCAGAATTATGTTATAAAAACAAACAAACAAACATGAAGGTTTTTTCACATCAACTGCACAGACTGGTTTTATAGTAGGAAAGAATTTCACTATACAATACAGAAATTCTCAGAGGAAGATAAAGCTTTTCAGTGAAACTGCAGCTGTGATTATATTAACATGGAAAACCAATTTCTGAAATATAGTTAGGTTCAATCAAGATCAATTTTATTTTTATTTTATTTTTTCCAAGAAAGCAAATACAGGTCCATATTGTTAATCTGTAGCTTTTTAAGCTCTAAGATATTGTGAAAGAAATTTAAAGTCAGAATTTATTTAGTAGCTTTCAAGAGGCAAGTACCAATTCTGATTTAACTAATCAAACAAAAGACAAAGGAAACACTTGAAAACTAACCAGAGGGACAGATGAATCATACACTATTTGAATAAAGGAGTCTTGTTTCCTTTAAGAAAAAGCATTACTAGAAAGCTAGCATAACTCAACAAAAACGTATTTCACCTGCCACAAGTGGTTGGAAGAACACGCCATGACTGGCTTTGCAGAATACTTGGAGCTGATACAAATATGGCCTAGCCTTCTTGTAGGTCCAGTTCTTAGAATCCTATTCACCACCGCACCATAGAAAAATGAACTGCAGAAGAAAAAGTTCTTTCAGAACTTCTGGGTATTTCACCCAAACACAGTCCAACCATGCTTGCAAAAAGAAAAAAAATTTAACAAAAGTTATGGGCTATATCTAAAGGGACAAATACTATTATCTAGAAATGATAATACTAACATTCAACAACAATAAAAAATAACCTGATTCAAAAGGAGCAAGACTTGAATAGACAATTCTCCAAAGATATAAGAATGGCCAATAAGCACATGGGAAAAAGTTAGCAAGCCAGAAGATATGTCGATAGAAACCTCCCAGACTAAAAAATCGAAGAGAAAACAGAATGAAGCGTGGAACAGAATACCTAAGGAACATGGGACAATTACAAAGGATGTAACATATACATGATGGGAATGCCAGAAGGAAAGGAATAAGAAAAGGGAGCAGAAAAAATAGTTATGAAACATTTGTTATAATTAATGAACTAATACTGATACACTATTATTAACTAAAGTCTATGGTTTACATTAAGGTCCACTCTTTGTGTTTTACAGTCCCAGGCATTTTGCCAAATGCAGAGTTGCATCTATCCACCTTTAAGGTTTCATACAGAATAGTTTCACTGCCCTAAAAATGCCCCGTGCTCCCCCCACTCATCCTCCTTTGCACTCTCCTAAATCCTGGCAACTACTTTATTTTGTACTGTTCATAGTTTTTGCTTTTTCTAGAATATCATATATTTGGAATCATACGGTAAGTAGCCTTTTCAGACTGGCTTCTTTCGGTCAGCAATAAGCATTTAAGGTTCCTCTGTGTATTAATGGCTCATTTATTTTTTTTTATCGCTGAGTAATATTCCATTGTACAGACGTACCACACTCTGTTTATCCATGCGTCTATTGATAGGCATTGTGATTACTTCCAAGTTTTGACAATTATCACTAAAGCTATTATAAACATTCATGTGTAGGAGTCTGTGTGAACATAAATTATCAACTCACTTGGGTAAACACCAAGGAGTGTGATTGCTGGATTGTATGGTAGTAACATTATGCTCAGTTTGGTAAGAAAACCACCAGATTGTCTTCCAAAGTAGTTGTACCACGTTGCATTGCTACCAGCAATGAACAAGCAGCTTCCTTTTAGGATATATGTCTTGCAAATATTTTCTCCCAGTCTACATCTTGTTTTTTCATTTTCTTAATGAAAAATATTTTCTCCCAGTCTACATCTTGTTTTTTCATTTTCTTTTGAAGAGGAAAAGTTTTTGATTTTGATAAAATCTAGTTAATCAAGTTTTTCATTAAACTTCATGCTTTTTATATGATAGCTAAGAAGTTTTTCTCTAACCCAGAGTCACAGTTTTTCCGCATGAGGAAAATGATGATGTTCTTTCTTTTTGCATATAAATATTCAATTGTTCCAGCAAAATTTATTGAAAAGACTATCATTTCTCCATTGGATGGATTACCATGGCAGTACTAACAAAAAAATTAGTTGGCCATATAAGTGTTGGTCTCATTCAGGTCTCTGTTCTGTGTCGTTGGTCTATATGCCAATATTACATTGTCATCATTACTGTAGGGTCATAGTAATCCTTAAAATCAGGATTTGGAAGACATCAAATTTTGTTCCCTTTCAAAATTGTGTTGGCTAGTCTGAGTCCTTCATAAATTTCAACATTATCTTGTCAGCTGAAATTTTGACTGGGATTATAGCTCAGTTTGTGAAGAATAAATGTATTAAGAGAACTGAGCCTTCTGATGTCTTCATTTGTATGTACACGCATATCTCATTTTATTGTGTTTTGCTTTACTGCATTTCGAAGATACTGTACTTTTTACAAATTGAAGGTCTGTGAAACCCTGTGTCAAGTAAACCGATTGGTGCCATTTTTCTAACAGCAATTGCTCACTTTATGTCTCTGCCACATTTGGTGATTCTCACAACATTTCAAACTTTATTATTATTGCATTTGTTATGGTAATCTGTGAGCTGTGACCTTTAATGTTACTACCGTAATTGTTTTGGGGTGCCATGAACCACACTCATAAAAGATGGCAAACTTAATAAATGTTATGTATTCTGACTGCTCCACCAACCGGCCAGCCGAGATAGGCTGAAAGCTAGGCCTGTTGTGCCAGTTAGCCAAGTTGTGAATGTAGATGGAAAGTTCTTAAAGGAAATTAAAAGTGCTAGGTATGCCTGTACATACATACATCCAGTGAACACCGGAATGATAAGAAAGGAAAACAGCCTTACTGCTGAAATGGAGAAAGGTTTAGTGGTCTGGATACAGAAGATCAAACCAGCTACAACATTCCTTCAAGCCAAAGTCTATTCCAGAGCAAGGCCCTAACTCTCTTCAATTCTATGAAGGCTGAGAGAGGTGAGAAAGTTGCAGAAGAAAAGTCTGAAGCTAGCAGAGGTCAGTTCATTAGATTAGGAAAGAAGAAGCCACTCCACAACATAAAAGTGCAAAATGAGTCAGCAGGTGCTGATGTAAAGGCTACGAGTTATCCAGAAGATCTAGCAAAGGTAATTAGTGAAGGTGGCCCCACTAAACAACAGATTACACTAAACGACAGATTTTTAATATAGACAAAACAGCCTTATATTGGGGAAAACTCTACCTAGGATTTTCACAGTTGGAGAGGAGAAGTCAATGCCTGGCTTCAAAGCTTCGAGGGGCAGCCTGACTCTCTTGTTAGGGGCCAACGCAGCTGGTGACTAGAAGCCAATGCATACTCACCATTCTGAAAATCCTAGGGCCCTTAGGAATTACCCTAAGCCTACTGGGCCTGTGCTCTATAACTGGAACAACAACGCCTGGATGACAGCACATCTGTTTACAAAATGACTTACTGAATATTTTAATCCCACTGTTGAGATCTGCTCAAGAAAAAAAGGGATTCCTTTCCAATTATCACTGTTCATTAACGATGCATGTGGCCACCCAAGAGCTCTGACGGAGATGTACGATGAGATTCCTGTTGTTCTCATACCTGCTAACACACATCTATTCTGCAGCCCGTGAACCAAGGAGTAATTTTGACTTTCAAGCATTACGATTTAAGAAATACATTTTGTAAGGCTATAGCTGCCATAGAGAGTGATTCCTCTGATGAATCTGGGCAAAGTAAATTAAAAACCTGGAAGATAATCATTCTAGATGCCATTAAGAACATTTGTGATTCATGGGAAGAGGTCAAAATGTCAACATTAACAGGAGTTTGAAAGAAGTGGAGTCCAATTCTCGTGGATGACTTTGAGAAGGTCCAGACTTCAGTGGAGGAAGTAACTGCAGATATGGTAGAAATAACAAGAGAACTAGTGAAACCTAAAGATGTAGCTGAACTGCTGCAATCTCAGGATAAACTTTAATGAATGAGGAGCTAGTTGTTAAGGATGTACAAAGAAAGTGGTTTCTTGAAATGGAAGCTACTCCGGGTGAAGAAGCTGTGAAGATTATTGAAATGACAACAAAGAATTTAGAATATTATATAAACTTAGTTGATAAAGCAGCAGCAGGGCTTGAGGGGATTGACTTCGACTTTGTGCTGCAATCTCAGGATAAACTTTAATGAATGAGGAGCTAGTTGTTAAGGATGTACAAAGAAAGTGGTTTCTTGAAATGGAAGCTACTCCGGGTGAAGAAGCTGTGAAGATTATTGAAATGACAACAAAGAATTTAGAATATTATATAAACTTAGTTGATAAAGCAGCAGCAGGGTTTGAGGGGATTGACTTCGACTTTAAAAGGAGTTTTACTGTGGGTAAAATGCTATCAAACAGCATTGTATGTTACAGAGAAAGGAAGAGTCAATTGATGCAGAAAACTTCACTGTTGTCTTATTTTAATAAATTGCCACTGCCACCCCAACCTTCAACAACCACCACTCTGATCAGTGAGCGGCCATCAACACTGAGCCAAGACCTTCCACCAACAAAAAGATTTAGACTTGCTGAAGGCTCAATGATGGTTAGCATTTTTTAACAATACAGTACTTTTAAATGAAGGTATATTCATATGGTTTTTTAGACATAAGGCTACTGCACACTTAACAGACTACAGTATAGTATAAACGTAACTTTTATATGCACTGGAAAAACAAAAAATTTGCATGACTGATTTTATTGCAGTATTTGCTTTATTAGGTGGTCTGAACTGTACCTGCGATATCTCCGAGGTATGCTTGTATAATATTATTTAAAGACTTTTATAAACTATAAGCACATTTTAAGGTGCCTTACATAATGTTATCTAGTTTCTACAACTACAGATCAAAAGTTATAATTTAAATGAACACGGGGACAGGTGTGTACTAGATACATTGACAATAAAAACTGACAATTAACAGAATAAATCAAGGGAAAGGCCAAAAACTATTTTTAAAGTACCAATAACAGCTTGGGGTAAGCCATTTAATATAGGCTTAAACAGCCCCTACAGATTCTGACCGACCCTGAAGCTAAAATTTTTTCCTGACACAATACAGTGAATGAATGATATTTATGACAAAAAGCTTGAATCTGAAAGTAAATAATATCCTATATATAATTATTAAAGTACAGGACTAAGTAATAAACTTTGAATAAACTGCAATTAAAACTTATGAAAATATCAAGGGGTACTTATTGGGGGGGTTCTCTTTGTGATTATATAAATGTCTAACTACTACGCTGTACACCAGAAATTAGTATAATATTAAATGTCAACTATAATTGAAAAACATTGTTTTCATAACAAAAATAAAAATTCTAGTTGGGTAATCTGCGAGTGGATTAATTTCTACCTAGGAGCCAAAGCCTTTACATCATGTGATCTTAGAATAATTAGGTTTGTGAATAATATGAAGAATCTGCATCATTAATTCACTTTTACCAATGATAAACTTTGTAAAAGGTATCGTTTTTCAGAAGTATTAGAAGAAAACAAGTAATAGACTGTAGCGAATAAAACAGTCACAGGAGAGGGTGAAACTGACCTTCTGGGAATGAGCAAATGGGCTACGTGAAGACATCAATGGGACAGCAGGGCTGTGAAGTGGTTGATACATCAAGCTTTAGTGATGTTTAGACAAATTACTCCAGGGAACTAGCATAAGTGAAATAAAATTGGACCAAAAATGGTTGTATTCATGGATAAGCTAAGGAGATTACTAAAGAGCTGATTACAGAAACAGACTTAAAATAGCAGGGTTATCCTACAGAATACAAGATCTCAGAAAGTATTAGACAGAGGAAGTCAGGAATTGAAATGAAAAACAGGTGCAGGCTAATAAAATCGGTATCATGCTGTGGTTGAAAACGGAGATGGGATCGGGATCTTTTTCACATGCCCAGTTTTAACATGACTGTTGTTATAATTTCCCTAAAACTTTACATTTGTTAGGCTGAAACTAAGAGTCATTTCATTCTGAATTTAAAGTCAGCATAGAAAGGGCAAATGTGGTCTAATTCTGGTGTACGGTATTTTCATTATGTGATAAGTGTTATTATTTGCTAACTAAGCCTCAGGCATATCATTTTGTTCGGAAACAGTAATATCTGAAAAGACTTCTGCAAAAATGATTTAAAAAAATAATGTAGTAATCTTGTGAATAAACCAATATACCTTAGCAAGTGATTTTACAATAGGATTCTCCATAATCCCCTTGAGGAAAATGAGGTCTATTTCTTCGGCTCCCGTAGATGAGGGCAGCTCCGTGAGGTTATCCAACACTTGCTGCATTGCTGCTGAGATAAAATATACAAAAAAAAAACAAAAGCCTTAAATTCTAAGCCATTATGAAATGCGATTACAAAATAACTCAAATAAAAAGGCATTAACAATTAACGCTCTTGAAAAACTGCATTTTAAAAAACTGAATTGTTAAATAGTATAAGTTTCTAATTGACTTGCCATGAATTAGTAGAACAGGTTTTTTTATATACAATTTAGGCTTTATACATATACTTACAACCTTATACTTGTTTTATATTTTTCAAATTAAAAAAACCTTACTCAAGAAGATATATAAAATTTTAATAAATCTATTTAAAAAAGATTGAATTACTAATCAGGAAACTTCTCACAAACCTGGAACCAGATGGTTTCATTGGTGAATTCCATCAAACACTTCAGAATTAAAACCAATACTTAACAAACTCTTCCAAAAAAAAAATAGGAGAGGAGGGAACACGTCTCAACTATTTTATGAGATCCTGATACCAAATCCAGACAAAGACATCACAAGAAAATTAAATGAAGATGCAAAAGTCTTTAGTAAAAGATTAGCAAATGGAATCCAACAACATATGAAAAGAACTGTATACAACGACCAAGTACAATTTATCCCGGGAATGCAAGAGAGGACCATCAACACATGAAAATCTATCAATGCGATATACTGTATTAATAGTACAAAAACAAACAAACAAACAACAACAACAAAAACATGATAATATCATTAGACACAGAGAAAGCATTTGACAAAATCTAATATCCTTTCGTGATAAAAACATTCCACAAACTAGGTACAGAAGGGAAATTTCCTCAACTTGCTGAAGGGCTTCTATGAAAAATTCCATAGCTAACATCATACTTAATGGTGAAAGACTGAATATTTTCCCATAAGATCAGGACAAGGCAAGGATGTCTACTCTTGCTACTTCTACTCAACATTGTACTGGAGGTTCTAGCCAGGATAGTTAGGCAAGAAATAAAAGGCATCGAGATGGAAAGAAATAAGTAAAACTACTTCTTTTTGCAGATGACATGGTACTGTATATAGAAAACTCTAAAAAATATACAAATAAATTTATTAGAATAAATGAGTTCAGCAAGGTCACAAAATATAAGATCAAAATACAAAATCAATTATATTTCTACACACTAGCAATGAGCCTACAAAGGAAATTAAGAAAATCATTCCTTTTACAACAGTATCAAAAACAATTAGAAATTAGAAAAAAATGTAATGAAAGAACTGTAAGATTTGTACACTGAAACTATATAATGTCATTGAAAGAATTTTAAAAGCCTTAAATAAACAGAAAGATATCTCATATTCATGGACTGCTAAGATGGCAATATTCACCAAAATGATCCAGATTTAATGCAATCTCTATCAAAATCTCAGCTACTCCCCATCCCATCCTTTTCTTTTTTTTTTTTTTTTGCAGAAATTGATAAGTTGATCCTAAAATTCATGTAACAAATGCAGATAAGCCAGAATAGCCAATCTCCAAAACAACAAAGCTGGAAGACCCACACTTAATTCCAAAATGGACTAAAAAGCTACAGTAATCAAGACTGTGTGGTACTAGCATAAAGACACACATGTAACTAAAGTTATATGAGTCCAAAAATAAATTCATAAATTTATGGTCAACTGATTTTCAACAATGGTGACAAGATAATTCAGTGGAGGAAAGAACAGTCTTTTCAATAAATGGTACTCGGACAACCGGATATGCCTATGCAAGAGAGTGAAGTTAGACCTCACTTCATTCAATAGTCTTAATTTTATTGAGATTAATTTTATTAGTTTTATCTTCTCTTGATGTTTCTTTAGAATAAGTCTGCTAATATTGCAGTTGTTTAATATTCATTTTCCATTTTTATTAAAATATAAACATTGCTAAAAGTCAGACTGTACTACTATGTGGCTTATAATGAAATTTAGCAGCTCTCTGTTCCATACTGTCCACCCCTCCCAACTTATCCTACTCTCCAGTAACTACTTTGAATTTAAGTTTCTTTTAATCATGTCTATATTTCTGGATACATGCTAACGTTGCTACGTTGCTACTTTTTGATTTATCCATTTTAGACATTATGTATTTATTTTCTGTTAGAATACTAGAAGGTTAAGCTTTTACCTTCTATCTACACACTGGCAATTTTTTTACAAAATCAACAGTTGGTGCTTTTCATATGGAACTCCTACAAGGTTTTTTCCCCCAGACTTTGCAAGAAACTTTGTGTCGTTCCATCAGCAATTTTTCCAAATGCTCAAATAATTGTCTAATACTCTACCAGACCCTCTCCCTGTCTTCTAGCCCTGAACTCCCTCCCAAACTACTCTTGTACATTAAATCTAGACAAGTTTATCTCTATCTAGGTCTCTATTCAGTACATGTAAACAGGAGGAAAATGTGGCCTTAAAACAAGGAGAAGAAAAACCGGTATTGGGCTAAGGTGAGGAAAGAAGACACAAGGAAATAAAGAATATAAACGAAGGCCACTTCAATAATTTCACTTGTGGTCCAATGTGTACCTTTAAGTGGGCAAGAAACAATAGAATCAACCACCTTTAGAAGTGTTTTTTACCCTGTAGCTATAAATGTAGTTAGCTCTGCTTCTCATAAATACTTTTTCCTTTCCTTTGAAATTCTGCATTTGCCTGTATTTTTATTATAAAAAATTTCAAATATACAGGAGACAAAATAATATAATGAACCCAATAACTACCAGCTCTAACAATTAACACCTCATGGCAATCTTGTTTCATACCCCTATCTACTTATCTTAGTCAACTTTGAAGGAAACCCCAGACATATTTTAGTGTATATGCCTAAAGGATCAGCACTCTTTTAAAACAATGTAACCAAAATACTGTTAACACATCTAACAAAGTAACAGTAATTCCTTAATATCACCAAATATGTAGCTGGTGTTCAAATTTCCAGTTGTTCAATGTTTTTTAAAAATGTATCCTCTATATTGGTTCTTATATTTTTATACTTGTGCTAATTAATAAGTGGAAAGAAAAGTAGTGGAGATTGTGAAATATACCTTTGGTTATTTTGAAGATTTTCATAAGTTATTTAATTCTTGATTATATGCAATTCAATTAAAAACTGGTAAGACTGCCAATATCCCAGGTCCTGGAAAGGGAATCCTGAATATTATAAAGTTGCCAAACATCCCCAAACTAATTTGTACATTTAACAGAAGTCTAATCGAAGTCCCCAGCCATGTTTTCAGTCCAGGTCTGGCCTGGCCTTCCCCCACAAGGAAACGGCCGGGAGCTCCAGGGAACCGGGCTCAGGCAGGGCAAGGGCATATACCGATGATGTTGGGCTAAGGCTGAGGAGGCCATGGCGTCCGGCAGTACCTGGCTGTCCAGGGGGAATGGTGGGTTGGAGAAGGTTGACAGGAACCTGGGATTTGTACTGCTTTTTATTTTTGTAAAGAAGCAAACCATGTGCTTTTCAACGAAATCTTGAAGACCTCATCTCATGTCCCCATGGGATACATGCTCCAAAGACTTGAAGGAGGAACTGATAACTCGACTATTCAGGCTTCATTCAGTCTATCAAGTATGAATCCTAGAGCTCCTTGCAGAGGATGATGCAAGACTGCTAGAGCTGAAAGCCCAGAGAAATCAGCATCCCTACTACTCTCTGTGTGGGATGAAAGCTCTGGATGCCATCCGTGCCCCTAAGATCCCATTTCAAGCTGAAGGTTGGTGTCCCCATTCCTTAGTGGGCAAGAATTTCTGCTCCTACCTGCTGGAATTGCGAAACACTAAGACCCCTTGCAAGGGTGTGCTCAGGGCCCTCACTGACACCCTGCTGGATGGCTGAGATGGCCGCTACGGAACTCTGGCCTGTGGCCAGGTGTACCTGTGCTACCAGGAGGCACCAACTGAGCTGGCCACCGTGGTCAACGCGCACAGTGGGAGCTCTCTGCGACTACACCATCAGCAGCCAACCACCTGACCCGGTCTCCTGAAGCCCCCTCAACAACCTTCAGGTAGCACGCCTCCCCTCCAGTCAGAAGAGCGTATTTGCCGAGCACTTCCTCAAACTGAAGAGCTTCAAGGACAGCTGTTAACACACTGGGGAGCACTCTGGGTTGGTGCTGAAGGGCTCTCCAAGACTGAGCCGGACAAACTGCAGCGTGCTTGCCCGGCAGCTCGCAAGTCACCCGGCTCAGCAGGTCTGGACTGGACCAGCCGAAGGCCCTGCTGAGTCCAGAGCCCTGAGGGCTCGTCTTACGGGTTCACCCCCAGCCCTTTCTTACGGGCAGTTTCAGAACATCTGCTAAGACTTCCTCCCCTCAGAATAGCACGGCGCTGTTCTGAAGTTGAATCCAGATGCTATTCTTAATGTCCCTGTCCATGCTTCTTTAAAAATCCTCACTTGGTCTCGGCCACGGGTCACCTGCACTGCTCCCGGCCATTTAATCCCAAAGGTGAGAGCTGTCTTCCTGATCTTCCCCTTTGTACGTAGCTACATGGGAACCGTTTGGGTCTGGGGCATCTCAGAGCTGACTGGTGGGAAAGGCAGACAGGGACCGGTGGGGGAGGTTGGGTGAGGTGGTGGGTGTGTGTGGAACAACTTACCCAGTGTTCCAGTTAAACCAGGATGTCAAAACATTCACACAGCTTCCCTGCCATGCAAGGACCGGCCCTAACACTTGCATCCCAAACTCTCGTTGTGAGCGAACTGAATGATGTTCTGACGCCCGGCATAACCCCATGCCCCCTCAGTGACTGGGATGCGATGGGACAGTACGAAGGAATGGTTCCCCCTCGCGAGCCAATTCACCGGACTGACTGTGTAAATTAGTTACCTAATAACAGGAACTATGAAAAGAACACAATGGTTCCTTTTAACAAAATTATTCTAAGCACATTTGAGAAAATATGTAAGAAATGAGAGAAGTAACCTTATAAAATATTAAAATATGAACTAAATCTATAATTACTCAGACATGGATGACCACAAGGCAACTCCAGTGTAAA